TCTCATAGCTGATTTGTTGTCATTTTAGTCTCATATCAAATATTAACTCTTCAGAGAGGCCTTCTCTGAAAACACAATCAAATGTTCCCAATCCCACCAAAGTTACCCTCTATTATACTGTTCTCTTATTTGTTAGTTTGTTTACTGCCTATCTTTCCACAGCAGAATGTAGTTCCATTATCATCTTGTTCACCTGTGGTTCCCAGGGTTACAGCATAGGCTCAATAAATACTTATTGAATAAATGAATCATAATCGATGAAAAAAATTAAAAATAATGACATCTTATGGAATCTGGCTATCAAACAGCAAAGATTAAAAGAACAAAAATACCTTATTTTTTTTCCTAACACTCTGTATTATCACCTGACATTACATTTATGGAGTTGTTTACTATTTGTCTCTCCTCAGTAAAATGAAATCTCCATGAGGGCAGGGACTTGGTTTTCACAGATGTATTCCCAGCACCTCTAAGAGTGCCTGGTATATAATAAGTGTTCAATAAATATTTATGGAATAACTTAACAATACCTAGGGGTGACTAGGAAGCAGAGAAAGGGATATGCTTGGCCATATACCACTGGTAAGAATATTAATGCACAATTTCTGTAGGAAATTTGTCAATACAGTTGACTCCGGAACAACACAGGTTTGAACTTCATGGGTCCACTTACAAGAGAGTTTTTTCAAGAAATATATTGGAAAATTTTTTGGATTTCTAACAATTTGAAAAACTCACAGGCGAACTCCATAGCCTATAAAAATGGAAAAAAACTAAGCAAAAGATATGTCCTGAATGCATAAAATACATGTAGATACTAGCCTATTCTATCCATTTACTACCATAAAGTCAACACAAATATACAAAGTTAAACTTTATCAAAATTTATGCACACAATCACTTACTGACCATACATGGTGACCTTTGCAGTTGACAGAAATGTAAAGATGCAATATTAAATCGCATCTTTAAATTTATTTTTGATTTTCTTAATTTGTATCACAACTGCATAAAATTAACCATAGAATACACTGTACTACTGTGATAATACTGTACTACTACCACAGACATCTCCTGCTGCTGTGGTGGTGAGCTCAAGTGTGGTGAGTATCCACTTAAAATGCCATGTGACACTAATCAATTTCTGCATTACTTTCCACTAAACTGTATATTACAGTAAAAAGTGTTCTCTCCTGGGGTTTTTTTTTTCCACTTTTTTTTTTTTTTTAAAATCATGTGTAGGGTAATATCGTAAACCTTGAATAACACCATGAAATCCATACAAAATGCTACTAGTGATGCTGGATGTGCTCCCAGGAAGCAGAGAAAAGTCATGACATCATAAGGAAAATTGAATTGCAAGCGAGATGCACCATAGATAGAGGTCTGCAGCTGTGGTTGTCCACTATTTCAGGCAGATGATTTATCTTGGAAACAGATGATGTAAACTTATGGTATTGACAAATACAGTATAGTACTGTAAATGTATTTTATCTTCCTTATGATCTTAACATTTTTCTCTCGCTTACTTTATCATAAGAGTACATATAACATACAAAACATGAGTGAACTGACTGCTTATGTTATTGGTAAGGCTTCCAGTCAACAGTAGGCTACTGGTAGTTAAGCTTTCCAGGAGTCAAATATTATATGTAAATTTTCAACTGCACGGGGGGTTAGCAACCCTAACCCCCATGTTATTCAAGGGTTAGCTACATATATCAAAAGTAGGGCACACCTTTTGACTCAGCAATCTAACTTCTAAGAGGAATTTAATAAACAAATGAACAAGAGTATAAAGATTATGAAGGAATTTTTCACTGGGTTCTTAGAGAAAATTTAGAAACGAAGGCATAATATCCATTAAGAGGAGGTTATAAAAACATGTATGGGGAGGACACATAGGTATGTATGTATTCACATGTGCATTCACAAGTAAACATTTGCATAGACATACATCAAAATGTTAACATTGGTTATCTTTGGATGGTGAGATTATGGGCAATTTTAATTTTCTTCTTTATACATTTATAAAAATTGTATAATTAGTTCAACAAAATTAACTATCTGAAAATATTCTGCTTTTATAAGTAAAAAACCAAAAACCCCCAAACTAAAAAGCCACAATAAACACAGAAACACACCTCATCAACTAAGTGAAGACTAAAGCCCGGGTTAAGAATAAAGAGTTCAGAAATGTCAACTTCATTATTAGATATGGCTTTCTTAAGTTCAAGCAAGTTACTTTCCCTTAGTCAATATTTATTTAAAAAAAAAAAAAAAAAGAAAGATGTGAAAGTTGCTTCTTTTATCTCACTGCCTGTGAAGCTCAAGAGGGACAGGCCTGGGCTTAGAAACAACACAAAAAGTGGCAAAAGCTATCATTTATATGAGACCCTTTCCTTGCATTTGTCTCATTAAAAATTTAAAACCATCCTGCTAGGTAAGCATTAATGTTCTCAGGCTCAAAAGCTGAGAGCTGACAGAACTTTCCAAAACTCAAATAGTTGAGTTTGAGTTATGCTATGTTGGAGATATTGATTCAGAAGCCTCTCTGACCTCAGAGCCGTCAGGAAAAGCTACAGAAAAAAGGGCACTTGTAGACTTTATAACCTTGTAAGTCTCTCAATGCCTCTGATCTTTTACATGGTTATCATACCACCCTTATCTAACTTGCAAAAAAGATAAAACAAGAATAAGCTTGGAACTTTTAGAGAGCTGGAATAAGTATCTGGAGAAGCATGATTTAAATTGGGTACTGCTCTCTGGAACGTGCCCTTCATTTCGATTCAACTCAAAGGCTCCAGATCAAAATGCTTGCTTGAGTGGTCACAAGGGAGAGGAACAGTGAGAGAGCACACCCATGTACGTGTGTGAAAGACCACAAAAGACTAGGATAACGATGGCATCCGACCACTGAAGAGAGAAGCTGGACCAGAACGAGGGAAAATGGACAACACTTGGGAGGAAAGGAAGCAAGTGAGAAGGACAAAGTTAAACAGGTACTGAGAGAAGGGGCTAGAGGAATGAGGAGGAACTAGGAGGAAAGCAGTATTTTTTTCCTTCCACCTTTTCTCTCTCTACTCTTTTCCTTGATGATCTCAGTCACTATTAGGCCTTCAATACTCCTTTCTGTTTGCATGACTTCCAAATATCTCCACTCTTGCCTTTTCTCCAACTACTGAGCTGGCCACATCCATCCACATTTCCTATTAACACTGTAAATCCAACAGGTCCCACCTGAATTCAGCATCTCCTTCATCCCAAGCCTGCTGCTACTTTTATATGCACTTCTCTTATACTTGTCAAACATCCATCTAACCCATTCTCTCTCCCCATATTCTTTCAATCGTTCCTTCATCCAACAAATATTTATTGTGCATCATTATGTCCGCTACATTCAGCGACAGCCCTAGATATACCCATTCACTCATGAAGTCGGGTCATTTCTGTCTTGGAAATCTCTTCTGACTACTTCATGAGCTGCCTAACTCAACTAAATTTGTTACTAAGACGTACTGAGAATCCCTCTTGCTTGAAAAATAATATATATTAACTAGTTTTGTACGCTATTCATTCTATAGTGATCGTCTAGCACTTGGCACTGTACCTCGGGCACAGAAACCCAATGGAGGTTTAGGGACTGTAAACTAGCTGGAAAGGGAACAGGGGCCGCAGAAGCTAGGAAACGTCTTGAAGGAGTATTTGCATAGGAAGCATGGTAAACTGTATGATCTATACACATAACATCAGCTTGATAATCCTTGTGTTTCCGGGGGACGGCTCTGGGAGGCTGGGGAGATCGCTGGAAGCCTTCTGAGAGAAAAGCTCCACCTCCCACCCCTTGAGAAGGTCCTCAGTAACCACCTGATGAATGTATCACCTTATGAGGGGACCATGGATGTTGTGTTCGCCGTTGTAGCCCCAGCCCCTGCAACATCGGTCCGTAGTAGGGATTCAATCAACATCTATGCAGGATTCTCCAAAGGCAGATAATTCACCACCTCATGAATGAGAAAAATGAAAGGGTTCTGGGGGAAGCAGAAATAGTGCGCGAGGTTTCCTTCTCTGTTCCTTCAGGGCTTGGTACGGGGTAATTGCTTGCTGAGGAAATAAATCGCCCTTCTGCACAACTTCAAAATCGGGCCCCTCGCTCTGCAGTCAGGCCCTGGAGCGCGGCCACCATCTGGCCCAGGCCCGCGCTTCTCTCCCTCCCAGCCTGGGCTCCTGTTACCTCCCTGCACGCATCTGTGCCCACCACAGGCCCAACAATTACGGGCTCCCGCTTTCCTGCCTCAGCCAGGGCCAGTACACTCGAGCCCCCACGTCCCGCCGAGGCTCTGAGGACGCCCGCGGCCCCGGCCTGAGACCCCGGCCCCTGCAGCAGGCGCGCCAGGAGCTCGTCCATGTGCTCGCCCGCTTTCCAGCCGCAGTCCTCTCGGGCTTCAGCGTTGAGCCCGGGAGGCCCGGCCGCCCGTGTCCCTGCCCCGGCCCGCCGCGCTCCCCGGGGCCCGAGAGGCCCGGAAGGAGGTAAGGCGGGAAGTGGCTGCAGCTGTGAGGAGCAAGGGGGTGGGAAGGGGGCGGCGGGCCCAGCAGAGGGTTGCGAAGACGCGCGCCCCCAGACTAGGCGACGCTCACTCACCACGGTCCGGCGGGGCAGGGCGCCGGGGGTCCGCGACAGGGCCCGGCGCAGCCTCCGCGACCGGCCCGGGCGGGCGCCCCCGGAGCTCTCGGAGCCGCTGTCGTCGGAGATCACGATGAAGTCCTCCATGGCTGCGGGCCCCGACCGAGCCAGCGCGCGGGCGGCCGGCGACCCAGGCAGCGGCAGCGGCGGCGGCGACTTCGGTTCCTGCTTCTGAGGTGGCGGCGGCAGCGACAACCCGGGCCATCACCACGCCGGCCCCGCCCCGAACCCCGCCCCTCCCCGCCCCGAGCCCCGCCCCTCCCCGCCCCGCTGGGCTGCCAAGCCCCGCCCACCGGCGGCGGGCGGCTGGGGTCAGGGCCGGGGTCGCTGTGCTTCGCGGCGGCGCGGGTCCTCCCTTCCCCAGGAGAGAGAGAAAGAAAAAAGAAAAATGGAGTCGCCACTGGCTTCGGCCGGTGTTGGGGGCAGGCGTACGAGACCCCGAGGCCGCGGGGACTTCCCCACCTGCTTCCAACTGACGTGAGGCGCGCCCAGCCCCAACCTAGCCCAGGTGTGAAGCTCCTTCCGGACCGAGAGGGCCTTGACTGAGGGGGCAGGGAGAGGAGTCCTGGCCCCCGAGTGACGGAGGGTGGGTGACCTGGCTTCTGGCCGAGCTAGGGGAGACAGACCCCACTTTTTGGTGCAGATGCGCAAGTGCATCTGTAGGATAAATGCCTGAAAGTGGACTTACTGGTGCAAATGCCATGTTTTTGTAGTTTTGATAAATGATGCCAAATTATCCTCCTAAATTGTACCAGTTTTGCGGTTTCACTAACAATATGTGTCTCTCAGGAGTTTAAACTGAGATTTAGAGCAGGAGTGTCCCATCTTTTGGCTTCCCCGGGAAGAAGAATTGCCTTGGGCCATACATAAAATACACTAATGATAGCTGATGACCTAAAGGAAAAGAGTTGCGGCGGGGGGGAATCTCATAATGTTTTAATGGGCCGCTTGCGACTCAGGCAAGGGGTTAAACAAGCTTGGCGTAGACAGTTGTTCAGTTGGTATGAGGATCAGAAGCTGAAAAGGTGCACAAAAGAAGCCATGAAGCAGCAGAGGCCACAAATAATTAGACGTTGTGAATAGCAGAAGTTATAAAGGTGAAAAAGGTTGTCACTAGTGGAGGAATCGGTGGGTAGTTGGCTGCTTGTAGGGCAGGACCATTAAAATCAAGATAGGACCTATTGGTACACTAAATGTGGGGTATTGACAAAATTCTGCTGCTCAGGCTCCAACAATTTTGCCAAATATGTTAACAGATCCAAAGAATATGTGTTTAATAGGAGGGGGATTTGTTCCCAAAGGAATGGTTATCAGGTCTCTCTAAATACTGTCTAATGCAGTGTTTTTCACACTTTAGTGAGTATCAGAATCACCCAGAGTGTTTGTTAAAACAGATTGCGGCCAGGTGCGGTGGCTCACGCCTGTAATCTCAGCACTCTGAGAGGCCGAGGTGGGTGGATAACTTGAGGTCAGGAGTTCGAGACCAGCCTGGCCCACCTCATCTCTACTAAAAATACAAAAATTAGCTAGGCATGGTGGCAGACACCTGTAATCCCAGCTACTTGGGAAGCTGAGGCAGGAGAATTGCTTGAACGCAGGAGGCGGAGGTTGCAGTGAGCTAAGATCGCGCCATTGGACTCCAACCTGGGGGACACAGCGAGACTCCATCTCAAAAACAAAAACAAAAACAAAAACAAGCAGCAAAACACAGAGCGCTGGGTTGCTGGTATGGTTTGGATCTGTGTCCCTGCGCAAGTCTCATGTTGAATTGTAAGCTCCAATATTAGAGGTGGGGCCTGGTGGGAGGTGATGGGATCATGGGGGTGGTTTCTTTTTTTTTTTTTTTTTGAGCCGGAGTCTCGCTCTGCCGCCCAGGCTGGAGTGCAGTGGCCGGATCTCAGCTCACTGCAGGCTCCGCCTCCCGGGTTCACGCAATTCTCCTGCCTCAGCCTCCCCAGTAGCTGGGACTACAGGCGCCCGCCACCTCGCCTGGCTAGTTTTTTGTATTTTTTAGTGAATAGTTTAGTACCATCCCTTTGGTACTGTCCTTGTGATAATGAGTTCTCTTGAGATCTGGTTGTTTAAAAATGTGTGGCACCTCCCATCTCGCTCCTTTCTCCATGTTACCTCCACTCCCTCTTTGCCTTCCGCCTTGATAGTAAGCTTTCTGAGACCTCCCCAGAAGCAGATGCTACTGTGCTTCCTGTACTGCTTGCAGAACCGTGAGCCAATTAAACCCCTTTTCTTTATAAATTACTCAGTCTCAGGTATTTCTTTATAGCAATTCGAGAATGAACTAACAATCACACATCAGATTTTCTGACTGAGAAAAAGAATTTTGGGGGTGGGGCCCTGAAATTTGCATTTCTAACAAGTGCCCAGGTGATGTTGATGCTGCTAGTCTGGGGACCACACTGTGAGAACCACTGGTCTGGTGGACAGGGAGTTTATGCCCAGCAGATTTCAGACATTCTGGTCCAATGGGTGAAGCCACCCTTATGAAAGGATTCATTAAGTTGTCTTCATCTAAAGCTATTAAACATTTAGGGTTGTGGTCTCTCACACCTGTAATCCCAGCACTTTGGGAGGCCGAGTTGGGAGAATAGCTTGAGGCCAGGAGTTTGAGACTAGTCTGCGCAATATAGCAAGATCCTATCTCTACAAAAATAAAAACAAATTAGCCAGGTGTGGTGGCGCATGCCTGTAGTCCTAGCTACTCAGGCAGCTGAGGCAGGAGGATCCCTTGAGCCCAGGAGGTAGAGGCTGCAGTGAGCTATGGTAGTGCCACTGCACTCCAGTCAGGGCAATAGGGTGAGACCCTGTCTCAATAAAACAAAATGAAACAAAATACACAACCATTTAGTTTGTTTAACTACCTGCTTGCTGAAACACTGTCTTCTCTAAGTTTCTATGATGCTGTACTTCTCTCACCACTTTTTTTTAAGTCTCCTTAGCTGACTCCTATTTCCCTACTCACTCCTTAAACTCTTGATGTCCCTTAGAGTCCTGACATCGGCCACCTTTACACACTGGACCTCTCCCTATACAATCTCAACTATTCCCTGGCTTCAGTGATTGGTTTTATGCCAATGGCTGCCATGAGTTTATCTCAGCCCAGCCCTCTCCTTAAAACTCCAGTTTATGCATCCAAACATCTGCTGAAGTTCGTAGGCCTCTCAGGTTGAATATGTCTAAAGCCAAACTCACCCTCATGCTCCCCACACCCACACAAAAGCCTGCTTTCTGTCTGTGTTCCCTGTCTTATGGTGATGGCTCTAGCAGCCAGCGATTGCTGAAGTGAAAAACCTGAGCACTGCACTTGATTTCTCCCCTTTCCTAAACAAGTCCTGTCTGTTTTACCTCCTACACACCTCCTGCATCCCTCTACTTCTTTTTTTTTTTTTTTTTTTTTTTTTGAGATGGAGTCTTACTTTGTCACCCAGGCTGGAGTGCAGTGGCGGAATCTCGGCTCACTGCAAGCTCCACCTCCTGGGTTCACGCCATTCTCCTGCCTCAGCCTCCTGAGTAGCTGGGACTACAGGCGCCTGCCACCACGCACGGCTAATTTTTTCATATTTTTAGTAGAGACGGGGTTTCACTGTGTTAGCCAGGATGGTCTCGATCTCCTGACCTCGTGATCCACCCGTCTCGGCCTCCCAAAGTGCTGGGATTACAGGCTTGAGCCACCGCGCCTGGCCTCCTCTACTTCTTTTGGCCTCTCCTGCTGATTCTAGCCAAGCTCTGGCCTACTCTACTGTAGCAAGACACAAGAGTGTTCAGATTTTATCTTTCTCATCAACCATCCTGCCTGAAATACAGGAAACTCAGGACCCCTGGTGGTATAATATGAGAACACCTTAAAATTATCCTGCCCTTACTTGGCAACCCAGGTGGGATGAATGCTGGCTCTGAAGTTGCCTTCCTTAAAACTATGAGTAATGTCACTTACGTTTGTGTGGCCATCCTGGATTTGTCTTGAAGTGCACCATTTACCCAAGACTTCCAAAATGATTGTATGTTTTGCAGAAATTTGTGTAGTTTTTTTAAGGTGGTACTTTTTCATAGACTCACTCCCCCCAAACCATACATTAGTCTCATGTAAAATGAGAGGCTAATGTAGTATTTTATGCAGCCAGTGAATACTGTATTTGGTGAGTACCTGCTAGATGCTAGGTATTATGTTAGGGGTCGGGGATAAAGCAGTGAGCAGGGCAGCTATTGCTTTTGTTCTCAAAGAGCTTAGCAGTTAAGGAAGTATCGCTAGTTGGTTAATGAAGAAAAAAATGTTTCTTTTCTTTTAAAATAATTTTTAATGAAACATTTATACATGAAAAAATGTGTGAAGATGCAAATCAAAACCACATTGAGATCCTACTTTATACCCATTTAGGATGGCTATTTTTTTAAAAAACAGAAAACAAATTTGCTCAAGGATATGGAGAAATTGGAACCACTGTGTGTTGCTGGTAGGAATGTAAAATGGAGAAGCAGCTGTGAAAAATAGTTTGGCAGTTTCTCAAAAGTTAGACATAGAATTACCATATGATTCAACAATTCTACTCCTAGATATTTGCCCAGAAAAATGGAAAACGGGGACTCAAACAGGTACTTGTCTGCAAATCTTCACAGCAGCATTATTTGTAATAGCCAAAAGGTAGAAACAAGTATTCCTCAGTAGATGAATGGATTAGTTTTGGGGTGGGGGGAGGGGGGAGGGATAGCATTAGGAGATATACCTAATGTAAATGACGAGTTAATGGGTGCAGCACACCAACATGGCACATGTATACCTATGTAACAAACCTGCACGTTGTGCACATGTACCCTAGACCATAAAGTATAATAAAAACAAACAAAGAAATAGCAAAATAGGCAGAAAGTAATCGTAGAGTCTGGATTTGCTCTATGACACTGGAATTGCTTAAAAAAAAAGTGGTATATACATATAATAGAATAATATATTCAGCCATAAAAAGGAATTAAATTCTGATAACATGCCACAACATGGATGAACCTTGAGAATATTATGCTAAGTGAAATAAGCCAGATACAAAAGGACGAATATACAATTCCATTTACATGAAGTACCTAGAATAGGCAAATTCACAGAGACAGGTAATGGAATAATGGTTTTCAGGGGTTGGGGATGGGGAGGATGGGGGGTTTTTGTTTAATGGGGAGAATGGGGAGTTCTTATTTAATGGGTATTGAGTTTCTGCTTGGGATGACAAAGAGTTCTGGAAATGGATGGTGGTGATGGTTGCACAACTTTGTGAATGAACTAATGCCACTGAATTGTACACTTAAAATGGTTATAATGGTAAATGTTGTGTTATGTCTATTTTACCAAAATAGAACGCACTATATGCATAGTTTTCTTTCATAAATTTTAAAAGCATTATAGACAAGGCTAAAGGCCCCTTTTGCCGCCTCCCCCATCCAGATTCCCAATTTCCCTTTTTCAGTGCTATTATGTTTATTCCTCTAGAGCTGCTTCTATGTATTTAC